GTTAATCTACGACTTCCCAACTGATCTTGGGAAATGCACCTGAGCTACAACTCCTCATAGCAGGGGAGAAAAGAGTTCAATATTCAGCATCTTAATAGACGTTATAAGTTGACCAAAAAAAAATACACATGATGAGGCCAATATGTGTATAAGCGCATGTAGCCATGCGCACACGCAAATTATGTGTTTATATACCTGAAAAGCCCAATACCAGTATTGCCTGAACAATTTAGATAAGGAACACCTGCATATTACCAACAGTTCCTTTTGATCTTTTAATTCCATGGGAACTCTTCTTACCTCACCCAAAAAATAGGAAAATTATCCTCCTCCCAGGTAAGCTTACCAGATTTTTTTTTTCGGTTGAAGCTTACCAGATTTGACCATGAGATCCATAGCAAGTATCCTACGACATCAATATATCTCAATCTAGATCTCCAAAAAACTGCTTTGCACCACCAGAAAAATCATTGCAAATGACTTTCAACCATAGTCACCAGCTAGCCCATGTGTTAGACCAACGAAATACAGATTGTTCATATAACTCAATTTACAAACATGGGGTTTCTTTCCACATCACACCAAGCACACTATCTAACATATGTAAAGAGTATGCTGGTTAAGTCACTCCATTTTAATAATCCTTACAAGCTCGAATGTCCACATCACCTTGAAATTTTAATGTCAAGACTATCAAGTGGGCAAGTTTCTGACATCAAGCTATACAGCCCTTGAAAAGAACCAGATACAGCAATTCACTGCAGGATACCCAAGTGCATCTTTGAAATTCATCTTACTGGGATTATCCCCGCAATTTATCAGCAAAACCCCGAAGGCCGGTTCTATATCCTATCTTCCAGACTATTTCTATATTGTTCATGCAAAAGGTCTCAAATACATAAATACATAATTATTCCATAGTCCGGTGGAATGAACAATAGAAGAGACTTCGGCAGGAATTCTTCAGGTTTTCTTCATCTGATATTCCAAAAAATTAAGGTGAAACATAATAAAATTTCCTGAGCATATAATGAGAACTCTAGTACATGAGATACCACTTATTGCCACTACAAGGAGCTAACTTTTCAAATAATCAAGCATCCACCAAAACCACCATGAGAATACTTATTACAGAACTGTATAGTGTCTAAGGTGCACATAACAACAAATGTCTCGTAATAACTGACGAAAGTACTCCGCAAAATGTCAACATTCTTTCTTCTCTATATTCAATAATGAGATTTGCAAACTGTTGTCTTTATTTGAGATCATGACTATAACACCATGTCTATTATGTCATATCAAAACTATACTTCAAATCTATTCAAAGCATACTACGTTAATAAACCAGCTTTACCAATCACTTGCCAAGTATGACGTAACATCTAAAAATTTAAAAGATCGAATAAATTTTGAGGATCCTGTTCCTAACCAACTTTACAAGAGAATGCATGAAAAGAGAAACCATGCCACCACAATACTGCAGTGTTTTCATAAAATCCCTTCTCAGTTGTTTGGAAAGATAACACAGGACCATAGAGAGATCATTTCGCCAACCCCAAACTTCAGATTTTTCATCACGCCGCCTTTTAATAGCAACTTCCATCAGCACTAACTAGTGACCATGATTTGAGAATTAGAAACCAATTTACTGTAATTTGCAAAGCATTCCTAGAGACAAACAGAGATTTCCACAGCAGATCCTAGATTGCATACCGGAAGTGTTCTATTCCCTTAACATAGCTCTACTCTTTCCTTTTTTCCCTTTTACTAAGAATAAGGTGCACCCTGACCGATGCCACTAGATGTGTCAATCCTCGAATAATTACCATCTTGATGCAGGAGCATAATTCTAGCTTTACTATTTTTAAGCGTCTTCTTTTTTGCGTAGTCTTTTATTATGTTATCAGGTTAATATAAAGTTATGTGCCAGTCATGTGACTTTTACTGAGCTCCTACAGTTTAGGTTAGAAATTGCTATTTTAGATCAAAGGTTGAGATCGTCCTTCATCTGTAACTTTAGAATAAACTGGTATTTAAGTTTCTTTGTCATCAGCTTTTCATTCAACAAACATCATTGGTTTTTCATAAACCCTAGAACATATTTTCTCTGTCCAGCTTCTCAATTCAACTCTATTTTAGACCTGTTTTCGTTCTTTTCATTATCTTATCCCTCTTTGGCTATATCAATTGGTATAAGAGCCCCTTGTTAGGATGTTTTTGCCCACATCAATTTGGTACCAGGGCAGAAAAGGTCCTACCTTGCAATTAGGGTTTTGTTTTGGCATGATGGTTGGACGTGGAAGAGGTCACATAAGAGGCAACCAAACCCATCAAACAGAGATGGTTTAGATGCGACGTATGATTGGAAACTTGTGGCGGAGTGTACAGGCTTTGCAGCGACAGGAACCTTTGGAAGCCCATATGGAGAATCCGGAAGGCGACCGCTACTTCTATCACCCTACTTCTAAAGACAGATAGCATCCCTTGGACATGCCGGAAGGTGGTCTTAAGGCTGATGGCGATAATGGATTTCCTGAAAATCCCTTTCATGATGCCGGACCCATAAATAATGCTGTAGGAGGTGGATTGGAAGGGTGATTGGGTTATACCTTAGATCTTAATGAAGAAACCTATCCTAGGAGACTTCGAAGATCAAACCACCAGAGTTAAGTGGGATGATGAAGAAGTCATACAAATAGTTGCTTGGGATGACTATAATGATCAAGAAAAAATTGAAATTTTGTCACGTGGGTAGGGTGATAAATTGCAACTCCTTGAAGATTCAAGTGAAAATGAAGAGGATTCTCTTGAAGAGTTTCTTCATGAGACATAAACAAGCGTCACGGAAGAAGATCAGCAAGCATGTGGAGGAGATGCTAGCCACTATATAGTTGAAGAGAGTATTTTTCATGTTGATGATTGATCTTGCTATTCCTATCAATGTTCCACTGAAATTATCAATTGGCAAGCTTTCATGAAGCAAGATACCTTCAATTGTTTTGGTGACATATGCATATATTAATGATGATTGGAAGGAATTCGCTATATCTTATTATTCAACCCGAAAATTGGTTTCGAGTTTTTTGTCAAATCGGAGAAGCAGGAACCATAACATCCATAGCAAATCGTTGTGGAAAATGTTGGATAAATTAGCTATCAAAGCAACAGATACATGGGTGTTTGGAGTGGAGATGAAGAAGATAGATAGCCAGTCAGTTAGGTTTTTTTTCCCTACGCCACATCTTTTAGAGATGGCCCAAAAGCCTTCTCGTCAGAGAGACAAGAATGTTACCGCTGTGAGTTTCCCAAAAGCCTTCTCGTCAGAGACGAACTCCTTCATCTTCGCCGTCCTGGGGTGATGCATCCACATCGTCCCGTCCATGAACTGGACGCCGTTCGCGACGCAAGCCTCCACGATCCCATCGAACTCGGCGGCGTTCACGGCCACCGGCTTCTCCAGGAGCAGGTGCTTCTTCTTGCTGGCGGCCAGGACGGCCCACTTGGCGTGGAGGCTGGTGGGGAGGGGCACGTACACGGCATCGACCTCCGGGTCGTCGAGGACGGCGTCGTAGGAGCCGTAGGCCCGCGTCCCCGGGGGGAAGCCGTTGTCGGCGGCGAACCTGACGGCCTTCTCGGCGGAGCGGCTGCCGACGGCGACGATGGTGGCGTTGGGGGCGAGGGTGATGGCCCGGCCGACCTTCCTCGCGATCTCGGCGCAGCCCAGGATCCCGAACTTGACCACCGTCTCCGACATTCTTCTTCTTCTTCGCGTCCTGTCGGAGAGAGGGAGAGAGAGACCGAGAGTGGGAGGGTGGGATGCTAATTTGAGCTGCTATTGCATTGCATTCAATTTATATATAAAAAAAAAATTTAATACCACCAAAAATTATAAATTGATACGCTTGTAATAAATTTACTCTCCATTAATTTTCGTTAAATTTCACCGTTAAATTGCTGAGTTGATGAAACGTGTCAATCGACGGATATACCAGTTTAGATTTTACCCCTCTATTTGTCACAAATTTACCAACGGAATATATTTGCCACAAGTGTATCAATTTGAGATTTTTTATAATCAAAAAATTAATTCGGGATAAATTTATCATAAGCATATTAATTTTTTATTTTTGATAATCAAAAAATTAATTTAGATAAATTTATCATAAATATATTAATTTGAGAATTTTTCGTGATATTAATACAAAAAAAAATACTTAATTGAAAATGCAACCGGTTATCATTTTCCTCTTTTTTATCCTCATTTGCCCGCGGGGGATAGAGCTGTTGTCGTTTGACTCATTTGGGATTCGGATAATATACCGGCATAAATAGTTAACCCGGAAATCACAGAACATTTCCATTTTGTTTTATTAGGAGGCCGGCAGGAGGGGAATTCTTTATTGGGCAGGTCGAGATCTTGATCAATGATTGATTGAGTGGGAGATTCACTTCTCCCCTTTTTCTTTCTTATACTGCTAATACTGCGCGAATATACCAGCTCCTTCCCCTTTAATGGTGGTCAATTTTCTTTCCCCCATGCCGACCAAATTTTACTCAACCTTGTTGCTCTTGATAAGCTACCAGTTCGTTTCACGAAAAATATAACATCATTGCGAAAATCATTTTTCAGATAAAATGACAATATTTTCTATTGTTTAGCTTAATCTTGAAATTGAGCTGGAAAATATTTTACACCGTTTTGCATAAAAAATCTGATTCGATTTTCTTGAAAAAAAAAATCAAAAAATTCGAATGTTTTAATTATTTTTTATTTTTCTTTTTCCTTCTATCTTTGCCGGTCGCCGACCACATGCGAGGTGAAGCCTCGAGCGAGTTTAGGACTCAACTGAACTAACTAAATAAGTTTTATAACTTGATTGTACTTTTTGCAAGTTTTAGGACTTAATTGCACTTTCGTAACAAGTTTTATAATTTTCAGTGAACATATCCTATTAAAATATACTGCAAAACTTGCTGAAAGAAAGAGAGAGGCCTGATCCGTACAATGGTGAACATTATAAGAAATAGTTCCTACCAAGTGAAGCCAGCAACATCGTCAATCCAACGACAGCATCATCCAACCCGATGCCGACGCCCAAAGGACGAAAGGACTACGTGGTCGAGGTCCTTCGGATCAGCTGCCAACATCTTCTTAGGCTTTCACTTGCCCATCGTCGCCGCGACCCTATCATATATGATTGCCTCATCTTACTTTCATGGTTGCTTGCTCTTGAAAGAATGTTATTTTGCCCACTCGAGCGCAAATCATCAGGTGTTCTCCAGACAAAGAACTTATATATTTCTTGTAACACCAGAGAGCACATGAGAAGGGATAGAAAGGGTGAATAAACTCGGATATTCTCACTAATCAGCCTCCGAATTCAACCGTGTCTTGAACCTAGCGAAACTGCTTGCCAAATCTTCGGCCAGACATACCTCACCCGTCTTCTTAAGAGTTCTCAGAACTCTCCACTGAACTGGAAGGCTCGGTTTCATACCCTTGTCCATCATTTCGAGCAGAACCTTTTGGGCTGTGATAGTGTCTCCTTTCTTTAGATGAAGCCTTGCAAGGAAGCTGTAAGTCTCATTACTTGAGTTGTTAACACAAGATGAAACTGCATATTTGTAGGCTTCCTCGTGTTGCTCCCAGCAAAAATAACCCTTGATAAAGGCAGTATGCGTTGTGATACGAGGTTCAATCCCAATCAACGCCATTCGATCAAGAAACTGGCTTGCAACGTTCATCTTCCCCTCTCTAATGTAGTGATTAATCAGTATCTCAAAAGTCAAAGCATTGGGAGGGCAATCTGTCCCTTCCATTTCTTCGATCACATGGATCGCTTCACTGACTTTACCATTCCGACACAAGCTACTAATAAAGTAATTATAGATACTGGTAGTTGGCCCAAAGCCTGCTTGCCTCATCTCATCAATCATAACTTTCACATCCTCAAAATCACATCTACGGCACTTCTCCCTCGCCATAATGTTGTAGTACGAAGCCTTTACCTCGGTAATTTGAATTACATACTTCGCCATCTCAAAGGATCCCAAACGACTGAACATCTCGATCAAAGCAAATACCCCAGAATTACGACATGATCCCCCAACTTGATTCAGGACTTCTATTGTTTTGCTCACGGGATCCATTACTGAAGACCTTAAGACAGTTAGGAATGTAAAAGCCTTTTCTGTAAGGCACACTCCATTCAAAGTAAATTCCTTCAAGAGGAGAAGCATGGTCTCATAATCTTCAAGTCGACCACAATTATCAATGACCAAACTGCAGATCTTAGGATTACAGCCAAGGTCAGGCCAGGAGTTCTGAATCCAGCGAAAGAACCGCAGAGCAGAAACCTTCTTACTGTTTATGGTTCGAAATATCCGCATAATTGAAGAGAGAGATGGCCTTACATTCATCGCATCCAACTTCAATTCCAAATCATCTGGGCCACTTTTAATCAACTCCATGATCTGCAGTGATTGCTTCCTTGTAGCATGCAGTTGATAGCCATCAAAACTGGCATGACTTCCAGAAACTTCATTTGACAACGCCTGTAGGTTCGATGTAGAGTAAAACCTATACAAATTCAGCTTGTGAGGTCTCATAATCCGGAGATTCAGCTCTGTACTTCTATAAATCCTGCAACTATTGATATGTGAAACCTGGAAATATTGAAAGAGAGAGTGCTATATTACACATAGAAGACAGCTTCTGAAGGTTTCAAGGAATATATCGTGCACAAATCTCCCAGATATTTTGCAATAAGAAAGGTAGTTGACACATAAAAGTTCTCAACTTTCTCGTTAATATGAAAACAAACCTTGACCGCAGTAACCCTTGTCTGTATAACCCACTAAAGACAATTATGTTGTTGCTGGACTTTGGCATATACAAATCAGTATGCGTGCAATTTTCACATCCAATTACAGTGGGACTTTGGTGGTCACACTTGACATATGTCTTCACAAGCATTCATGAACTTGTTTTGAGCACAATTTAACCTCTTTAAAAGTGCCTTTTTACAATTCTTGCTTTATAGAGTGCCTTATGAAGGAAAATAAATTTCTTATCATATTTGGAGGGCTTGAGGTAGCAAAATTGGCACTGTGCTGAGTAAGTGAACAAAAATGAGAACAGAACCACTCTTCCACTTTCTTATTCTTTATCCTACTCATGTTGTTTCACACCAAACATCAAATACAGAGGCTGGTCAACTACTAGATTCTTTCTTGCAAAGAAAGCTCCCAGTAACGCCCATGAGACTCCTCTTCGAAGATTATCAATTTTTATAAATTTGTCGCTTGGCACTTGAGAGACAAATCTTTGCTTCCTTTTGGAAATTTAACATATTATCCAAAGCCTATAAGTGGGAGTCTGCTTAGACACAGGGATATCATGATAAAGTAGAAATTTTACTCTCAGAAACGCAAATAGGTCGGCTGCTGTATGATTAATTTGATATCGTAGATTAGCAGTTCTTTTCCTAAAAATAAAAGCTAAAGGAAATTTGAGGAAATAATACACTGACAGATCAGTCCAAAAATTATATCGTGAGAGTACTTCACCCTTGTATTTCACACGTGGTAATGGATCCAAAAATAATATAACGTAGTGTGCATATTATCATGAAACTCATATTGTGAAAATATAAAATTTGAATGCAAATTACATCCTTGAGGATGATTGCATTGTGATTCACCACATTAAGAGCAATCGGGAAGCTAGCACGATTAACTAGTGAAAAGTGGTCACAAAAAATAAAGCATGAACATTTAAGAAAAACGAGTCACCCTACTCTTTTGGAGAACTGAATTTCTTGCCTATCTTGTTTAATCTCTATGGGAAACCTATTTCAATTTCATGGACAAAATGACATGGCAAGTATCCTTGTAGCTGATGAATAGGACAAATTCTTACTTTGCCTGATGATAAACAGGTCAAAGTACTTAGGGACGTGATCTGGTAACCCACCAATTTATGGTGGCAGCCAAGTCATGTAAACCACATAAAAAGAGTACAGAATGGCGAAACACACTTCAATGGCAATTTCAAGATGCTTATGTACATAAGGGATCGGATAAATGTGAATGCAAACAGCAGATACCCAATGAAAATCCAAATCTCAGACTAACTCAGGCAGAACAATCGCAACTGTTGATACGAGGATACAGAGACGGAGCCCAGCGTGATATAAACAACGACGATGTCAGCCAGTAGCACCGTGTTTAGATCTAATTCCACATAAACGGGACGGCTGTCACATAGATCGCAAAGCACCTCGAACCATTACAGAATAACACTCTTCTACATCCTCCATTAGAAACCTGCCCATCTCCAAGTTCTTTACAGACCTTTCCACTACACCAGACATGAAAAAAAGTCGCAAAAAAATGTGAGTGCTGCTTGAAAAAGGAAGCACAAACTCAATCTGGAACACCACAAAAAAACAACTTTCTAGCATATTATGTTGGTGTTACCGGTTCTTATACGTGACCTTGAAGATAACCCTTAAATCTTTATTCCTCTCGAATCAAACTAACATCAGAACTCAACAAAATCAACCATTCACGAGACAGGACGGAATTGAAGACACCCCAAAACAAGCACCAATAAACAGTTCGAGGAAAAGGGGCTAAAAAAAGGGCGATTACCTCATGGGGCCGCCCGACCGAGTGCAAACCCAAGACGCCCAAATCGTCAAATGGAACCTTCGGTACCTTATCGAGCTCGGCCACCCTCGCGGCGGCCGGAATCTCCGAGACGGCGGCGCCCGAGGCCCGTTTCGCGGCCCGGCTCGCCTTCCTGGCCAGCGCCCCGAACCTGACTACCGCGTCCGACATCTTACGTATTGGCCGGAGGGGAAGGACGGATGGTCGAGGCGGAGGCTTTCTGGGGGTCACTTCTTCAGGAGCGCACTCGATCCATGAAGCTGGTTCTGTGCGAGGGAAGCGCTTCGTCGGCTATTTCGATGGCGAGCGAAATTGAAAGTCAGGAGGCTACTTCGTGTCGGCCGGAGACGGCGAGGGTGTTCGCAGTCGCGCTAGAGGCACGCTCGTTTGGCTCCGTCTCTTATTGGATTTATATTTCAACAAATAGAATAAAATGAAATTATAGGAAAATGTGAATTTGGGAAAAAAAAAACAATAGATAAATTAATGAAAGCATTTTTAATTATATTCTATCATCTCTCGAATTTCTATATTCTATTTATATTAAGCTTAATTATTAGAAAATAAATAAATAAATAAAAAGTACGTCGAGATTCAATCTCTCATTAACATTATTAGGCTTAACAAAGAATTAACTAGAGAAAGTAGATTTATTTTTGTGCGGTATAGTTGAATGATATAGCTTTTTCATTCAGCAAAATATCTTTAACCAAGAAAAGAATAAAATAAATTAGATTAAGGTATGCAAATCTATATAAATAATACCGCTGACCAAAAAAACAGAAGTGGAACAAACTAAATACATGTTTTTAATAAACAAACCATTGCTATCTATAAATTTTATTCACATAAATCAGCACAATGCATAAAAATATTTATACTAGATAAAGAAATTCATGTCGACCTTCGTGGTCATAGTCGTAGGTGTGCTTTCCCAGACTAGCACGCGGGTTGGCATGGCTCATGCTTAAGCTTAGCACAACGAGTCGGGCCTAGTGTGCTCGGACCATTCTGGCTCGAGCATGACTCGGTGGGCCACCCCTTAGCTTGTATCACGATTTTTTAGATGTATTTTAGGGAAAAAATCATCAAAAATCCCGAACTTTGCCATCTGTGACACATTTACCCCAATGTATTTAGTCCATGGGCGTTTTTCGTCTTTTTTGCTTTTTCTTTTTTTTTCCTTTCCGGCGAGGGGGGGCCTCACCGGCGTCGAGCGAGGGCGGCCCTCGCCAGATCCGGCGCGGGCGGCCTCGCCCGACTCAGGCGAGGTCAACCCTCGCTCGCCTGTGCGAGGGCGACCGTCGCGGCGTCGGGCGAGGTCCGCCTCGCCCGATCTCGGCGAGGTCGACCTCGCGCGCTCGGCGAGGGTCGTCCTCGCCCGGGCGAGCGAGGGCGGCCTCGCGACGCCGGCGAGGGCGGCCTCGCTGGATCCGCCTCGCTCAACGCCGGCGAGGGCCCCCCTCGTCAGATCCGGCGAGGGCGGCCCTCACCGGCGTCGGGCGAGGTTCGCCCTCGCCCGACGCCGGCGAGGCCCCCCTCGCCGGAAAGGAAAAAAAAAAAAAAAGCAAAAAAGACAAAAATGCCCATGGATTAAATACATTGGGGTAAATGTGTCACAAAAAGCAAAAGCAAAGTTCGAGGTTTTTGGTGTCACAAAAAAAAGTTCGGGGTAAATGTATCACAGATGGCAAAGTTTGGGGTTTTTGGTGGTTTTTTCTCTATATTTTAAACACGTGGACCATATGATCCTGGTGATGCAAAGCCAACACACCAATTTGACGACGCTCGAGAGATCAATTTATTGTGGTACAGCGCATATAAAGCAACTTTAGTCGTCACAAATACTTATAACAATTTTTTATTAAAGTACCGTAATCTATATTTCTTCGGGAGAGAAGGTTTTTCGAAAAATTCAGAAAAATCCGATTCACTACTCAAAATGGATAACAAGAACACAGAATGAAAGGACCACGCGAGAGCCGTTAACTTGCACGATCCCTCCTCCTTCTCCTTCTCCTTCTCCTTCTCCCGCTCGCTCTCTGCTTCTCTTCTGCGACCATTCACGTCCTTCAATGGCGGACACGCTGTAATCCCAATCCATACACCATCTCCGAACTCGAACGGCCGAAGCAGGACCGACCGAGACTCAAAAATGGCGCTGCACCTCCCCTCCCCGCCCCTCCGCCTCGTCCTCCCCCCCGCCAATCCCGACCGCGGCCGCGGGCTCAGCCCCGGCGCTCCGGCCCGGCTCCTCCGCGCGGGGCGCTCCGACCGCCGCCCCGTTCCGGCGGCGGCGTCGGCGGCCGCGCCCCGCGGCGACGCCGTCGACGCCTTCACGGAGAAGTCGGGGTACCTGTTCGAGCTGAGCGCGACCGAGGCCGACTCGCTGACGGACTACGACGTCGCCAAGATTGCCTCCGTCTACAGGCGCAAGCCTCTGGTTCTGCTCCGGCGGCTTCTCCAGACCGCGACGACCTTCGGCAGGTGGTTCGCGTCGCGTTACCTGGACGGCCTTATGGAGCGATCCGATCAGATGTTTGAGGTTCGCCTCTTGAGCTTCGATTTTGCCTTCTCGTAAGTTTGCTGCTAGTAGCTGAAAACAGCTAATATGAGCTTCATTAGAATTTGTCCTTCATCTCTAACTTTAGCTTTTCATTTGATTATTCAACATATGCTTAACAGTGGTCTGGAGGAAGGACAAAATGTTCTCGTTTCTTTATCTTTCATCACCTCCCTTCTCATTGATTGGAGACATAATATTGAATTCTTCAACTTTAATCTTTGAGGTTGCTAACTGGAACTGATCCTATGGATGTCACTACTCTTTCGTGAAAAATTGAAGAATTATTTAATTACTTTTCATTTTGTCTGACCTGATTCCCTAAAAAACCTCGGTTCTCTAAACTTTTTTTTTTGTCTAGAAAAAAACCCAAGACTTTAGGTCCGGTCCAAATCTGTCCCAAATTTTTCTTTATCTAAGAAATAAACCCCAACTTTAGCTACAGTCCCAAATCTACGCCAAACTTTTTTTTTTAATCACCAATTTTTGCTCTAGTTCCAAATCTTCTCCCTTGAACCCTCTGTTCGAAAACCACGTTAGTCGTTCTTAATTTTCATATCTTAGAACGGTCTCATTTTAGAGATAAATTTCCATGTCACCTTGCTGATATGGATTTGTTATCGATGTGGAAATGCCATGTCAAGTTGGAACCGGACCACGGGGTATATTTGAGAATAGATTGACAGTTTGTGATTTTTTAAAATAAAGTAAAATTCGGGGTAGATTTGAGACATGGTCTAAAGTTTGGGATTTTTTTCTGGGACCGAAAAAAATTTGAGGCACGATTGGGAGTAGACCTAAAGTTGGGTTTTATAGGGAATTAGGCCCATTTTGCTTCCACTTGATTTTATTTTATAAATTTACCTTTTTGGTTTTTCTTTCACATTTCGGTCATCTTTTTCTTCTTGATAACTAATGTTTCTATTTGTCCTAAATGCCTTTCTGCTTGGTTGAATATTGGTCTGTTCCAGGAGGAAAATTTTGGGAATTGTTTCATCAAAAGGTACAAGGTTGCTCTCGGTATTAATTGAAACTGGCTGCTACTATCTTCAGTCACGATTTAATCTATTGATCACTTATCACAGGTTTTTTCCTCTTTTTCTTCACGATAACCAGTGTTTTCTCTGTAGTTTTTGTTTATCTGTCTTTTTCCCTCTGTTGAGAAGTGTTGGATCATATTTTCAGAAATGAAAATTGATCTTCTGTCAAACTTCACAATAATGAGTATAGATGTGGGCTTTTGGTGAATGACTCTGTTTTACTTCCATTCGCTTGCAGGTTAGAGCAGAAGAACTTCGGAACGTACTGGTTGAGTTAGGTCCGGTACGTTATACAAATAAATTTCGGGCTTTTTCAGAGTTTTCTCCTAGTATTTTGTCTCTCTCTCAAACACTATTACCATCTTTGATTTCCAGAAAATTGTTACTCAGGTAATGTTATAATTTTAAGCTTTATTTCGTTGATTTTCTCCTAAAGCACATTGGCTTCCAGAAGTCTGCTTTGCTCTCATCAGTTAGCTGTTATTAAAGCACCTTAACAGGTATTGTTTTCATCAGGTGAAAGCCCATTCATTAAATTGGTTTTAAAGAAAGGCTATTGTATTGATTGATCCTAGATTCGAACTTCTAAACTGATAGCCGTCACATATGGGGCTAAATGGATACTCGAACTAACAGATTAGATTTTCGTTAAACTAGGCAAAAGTAGCTCCTTCAGAGGGCATGTTTGGTTCAACTTTGAAAATGCTACTCGGGGGAATGCAAATACCTTTGGGTGAAAGCCCATTGGGGAAATGCAAATGGTATTTGGTAAAAATATTTTGTAAAGCTACTTTGGCCAAAATATAGTGTTTGGTGAATTTTTTTTGCAAATGGACTTTGAGAATTATCTTATTTATTAAAAAAAAAAAAACTAACCTACCCATCGCCGGAGCCGGCCGCCGGCGATGGCCTACGGCCGCCGGCGAGATAGATCTGGCGCCGGCGGCCGTCGCCCGAGGTCGGGCGACCCCCGGCGAGCCAGATCTGCCGCCGCCGACGGGCCGCCCGAGGCCGGGGGCGACTCGGCGGGGTCGCGCGACCCAGCGACGGCCGCCTCGGGAGGTCGCAGCGACCCAGCGACGGCCGCTCGAGGTCGCTGCCGGACCCAAAGCGGCGCGACCCAGCCGGGCGGGCGCCCGGGCGGTCGCGCGCGACCTCCGCGGCATGGCCGCTCGGGTCAGGCGACCTTGTCGGCCTCTCGCCGGCGCAATCCAGGCGCCGGTCGCCCTCCCTCGCCGAAGAAGATGAACAGTGATGCATGAACAGTAGCATTTGGCAAAGGCTGAAAGCCCAAGGCTGGTCCGGACCAGCTTTGGGCTTTCAGCATTTGGAATGCTAGCATTGGCCAAATGCTAGGCCAAATGCTGAACCAAACACCCCAGCATTTTGGGAAGGGGCTTTCGAGGCTCAAAGCCCCTTCCCAAAGCTGAACCAAACACCCCCAAAGCCCATCTCGGAGCAGAACAAAAGATATTGGAATGTTGTCACAGTAGAAGTGGCGACTTGACTTCTTATAAAAGGGCTAAGGGCTTTCAGCTTTTCCTCCTCTGGACTGTTCAATTCAACCAACATAGCTTTAGTAAAATCGGTTGGGGTCAACTGAAACGTGTCTTTGATGTCTCATGATCATGTTGGATACCTTTTCTTGAGATTTAGGTGAATTGTATGAAATGATATCATATCCAACAATACATGTGATGACGTCTGCAATATATGTTGGATACCTACTCTCTTAGTTTTAGTCTAGATATCTTATACCAATATCTTTTTCTTGTCTTATTGACTCAGGCATATGTAAAAATTG